TCCAGGCAGTGGGAACAGTATGTGTGAACTCCTGGAGGTTAAAGTGTGGCTTATTCAGAACTAAGTTATTCCTTCCACCCAGATTATAAAATTGAAGGTGGAGAAAGGTGAGTTATGGAGGGAGTTTATAAGCCAAGCTTAAGAATCTGGATTTTACAGATGAGAGTCACGGACGTGTTTTAAGTGGAGGCTTAACAGTTTGGGAGGCTGGATGGCTCAGCATCTTCAGGCATGCCTGATTTGCCCAAGGGCTGCCGTTTGGTTGAAGACAGAGGGAACATCAGATTTGTTTGGGGTTTTGCCCATTCAGTATTCATGGCCCCATTTTCCCTTCATCAACCACCTGGTTATGGCCTCGATGGGATGGTCAATCAAGGTGGTCCCCCTCCTCTGGCCAAGGATGGGATGTGGCCCTGGCTACACTCTCCAGAATTTGAAGCTTGGGCTTGGACAGAAGGACTGGACACAGTTGTTTTCATTCATACCCAAAATTGCCCCCTGAAGAGATTGTCCATTAGAGGGTCAAAGCTGTTCCGGTTTCTGGTTTTCCTTGTCCTCTGCAATTCCTTTGATTAATGAGCTCCCTATAATAAATGAATGAATGAATGAATGAACGAACAAATGAATGAATGATTTGGTTAATTAAATAAGTAAACACACACACACACACACACACACACACACATTTATATTTATAGTGTAAGTTCACCAGAATCATTTTCTGTTGCTTGCTACCAAAGAACCCTAGCTAATATTACCAGTGCTGATGGGTTTGTTGGATTCAGGCAATAGAATGGTAGCTTAAGCAAAAACCAAAACAAAGAAACAAACCAAAGGGGGGCGGAGGGGGAGAAAGAAGGCGTTGGAAAGATTGTAGGATATCTTAGAAAATGGAAAGATGAGTTATTTTGGGAAGGCTGCGACCCAGGGTAGGTGTGCAGGATTCAGAAGAAGGGCAAACACTACCCTCGAGTATTTGCTTTTTTTTCCTCACCCTTGTCTTCTCGTGGGTGGCAAGATGGTTGCCATATTTTAAACATCATGACAGTATCCCAGGGCCTCTTTAGAGAGTTGCCAACGGTGCAACACAATTATGGTGACTCCCAGGCTTTGTGTCTGCTCCAAGTTTCAAATTCCCCAAAGAAAAGTCTGATATCCTGCTTTGGGATAGGTGTCTATTCCAGTGGGGTAGGATCTCATGATACAGACAGGGCAGGTCGGGGGTGTTCTGTGTTCTGGGGTAGCCACTGTGAACTGGGTGATCCTCCTGGAGATGTGTTTGACTCTGTCCATTGACAAACACCAGAGAACTTGGCATGGAAAACAAGGACATAGGTGGGACCATGGGCTGGGGAACCAGTTTGCCAAGCCTGGGTTCTCAAACTATGACCTTTGAGCTGGTTCTCCCATTGCCCCAGGAGAGCTGTGGACTTTCCTGGAATCAGGAGGCCTCCTGTCTTGGGAACCTGTACAGGTGCCCAGGACCTAGGCTAGTAGATGCTGACATTGTATCAGGTGAATGATTTTCCCCACACCCACCACTGTGCCCTGTATTTTTGAGTCAGCATCGTTAATACTGGGGTTCTAAAAAATAACAGAGCATCCTAGTTAAGAGGGTGCTGTTTCTTCACTTTCTAAGATGGAATGCAGACAATTTAGGAGACCTTTACAAGGGGAAGATTTTTGGGGGGAGGGAAGGGTGTCATTGAGTGAGCAAGCTGGTTGACCTCAAATTGGCAGGTGGATTGAGGCCATGAGAACACCTGTTTCTGAGCCCATGTGAGATACTCACTGTGACCCCAACATATCTGGGGGAGACTTTGAGGGGGCATCGAAGTCCTGCATCAGCAGTTGGGGACTTTAAGCCGTTGAAATTCTGGTGCAAATGTTCTTGTGACCTTAATTGTATTTATGAGTCCAGTGAGGTTTGGGGACCTTTGGGTCAACAGCATGAAGAGGCAGGTGGTGTTATGCATATGTCAGAAATGCAGAGATGGCAGGTTAAGGGATTGAAGTTACCTTCTCAAGGCTCCACAGTCAATGAGCAAGGGAACATGTATCCAATCCCACACCACTTGGATCCCAAAGGTCGTTCATTGGAATGCTTTGGTTTCAAATAAAACACCCAACTAAAACAGCTTAAATAGAAAGGACAGTATCTTTTTTTTTTTAATGGAAGTTGGAGGTAGATGGTTCCAGAATAGATTAACTCAGAGCCCAACATCATCAGGCTACTTGGTTCTTCCCATCTTTCTTCTCTGCTATCCCTGGAGAAGTGGTCCTCAAGATATTGTCCAAGCGCCACCCTGCTTGGTGTCCTTGAGACCCTTTCAGGGTTTCCTCAAGGTCAAAATTATTTTCATAATAATATTAAGGTATTATTTGCCTTTTCCCACTCTGATTCTCTCACGAGGGTACAATGGAACCTTCCAGAGGCTGCATGACGTGTGATGACATCATCTATCTGATGGCCAAACGAATGTGGGCTTGTGTAGTCACGTGTCTTGAAAGTTTTGGGGTTTTAGTTTCTAATAAGGTAAATCTTGATAGATGTAACCCACACAAGCAAAAGCTCTTCAGGGTCCTCAGTAATATTTAAGAATATAAGAAGTTCTTGAAACCAAAATGTTTGATACCACTGTCCTCAAGTATTTGTTTTTCCTGTCAACCTTGTTTCCTCATGGTTGCAAAATGGCTGCCGCATCTGAAACATCACAACAATCTCCAAAGGCCTTTTCACTCAGTCTGATTTCAGTAAAGAGAGCTTTCCCAGAAGCTCCTCATCAGATCTTCCATCATGTTTCATTGGCCAGAATTATATCACACATTCATTCCTTAACCAATCCTTAGCAATAGGGATGATCTATGCCCTGGGGCTAAATCCTGCCTCCCTAAAAGCCATGCCTTCCTGATGCCTGAACAAAATTCTGGATTATTTAACAAGGAAGAAAGGGAGTATCTATAAGTTAAGACATAAGTCCAGCTGCTGTAGCAGAGACCCAAAATAATAATGGTTTAATGAAATTTGTTTCTCTCTTACATAACATCCAATCATAAGCTCCCCAGGGCTGGTGTGAGAGCTTTGGGGTACCAGAGATCCAGGCTCCTTCTATATGGTTGTTTTCCCATCTCTAGGCTATTGCTGTCATCTGTGTGGCTCAAGAAGCTATCCCACCACATCTGCATCCCAGTAGAAAGGGATTAAGGGGAAGGCACACCCCTTCCCTTTAGGAAGACAACCTAGAAGCTGTACTTATGTCTTGTGCCCATGTCTTACTGGCCAGAACTCAGTCACATGGCTGTGTGGAGCTGCAAGGGAATCTGGGAAATGTAGTCTTTAGCTTGGTGGCCTTGTTACATAGAAGAAGGAGAGAATCAGATTAGCTTGTGCCCATTGTTATTCCCCTTTGCCTCCCAAGAAGGAAAGGTCTTCCTAATACTGAACCAAATCAGTTTGGTTAAGGAGGAAGAAGGGAGGATGGTTGTTGAGCGCTCAATTCCCACTGTCTGCCATAACTACCATATTCTTAGTGGTCATTGTTAGTTATCTGAATCATGTGTTATTATCAAACATCGATTGAGGTCTATGAAGCAGTTTCTGCTTCTGTGATAAACAGCACTCTGATTCTTGTCTCAAGAAACTCACGTGGGATCTCGCTTCAAATCCTGGATTCTCCAGTTACTGGCTGGGTGACCTGGGCTGGACCATTTGACCACTCTGAGAATCAGTATCTTCTTCTATGGTGTGGTGATGCACAACCTAACTGGCAGGGTTGTTTTGAGGATGAGAAAAGATTCTGGGAATAATAAACCTTGCCTGGGCCCCAGAACATTGTGAATGTCTAATTATAAGGACGCAAATCACTAATCCACAGACAACATAGCTGTGCAATCATGGGGTTCTGGACAAGGCATAGCTGTGCGGTACCAGCTGGCCTCCATGCACCTTTCTCCTCTCCTACCCCAGCCCACAGTAATATTTCCTCTTTGTCTCAGCTAGCTAATGTTGCATAACAAATCACCCTAAAGTTTAGTGGCTTGAAACAATGACCACTTATTTATTTATTTATTTTTGCTCATGAATCAGTAATCTGGATAGGGTTTGGCAGGGACAGCTCATCTATGTTCCACATGGCAACTGTTGGTGTGACTTGAAGGGGGGAAGGGGACTGGAATCATCTGAAGGTTCATTCACTTCTGTGTGTGGTAGCTGGACTGGGAAGAGTCAAACTTCTGGGGACTGGAATAGCTGGGGCTCCTCCAGCATCTCTCTCGATCTCTCTGTGGTCTCTCCACATGGTCTCTCCAGCATGGCAGCTTTAAGGGTACCCCGTCTTCTTGCACGGTGGCTAGAGCTCCAGTGTCTCGTGCTCTGAGATAGCGACTATCAGGTGGAAGCCACTGTACTTTTTTTGACGCAACCTCAGAAGTCATGCCCCATCACTTCTGCTTCCTGCTCTTTTTAGAAGCGAGTCACTAGGGTATTGCATTGTCTTTCCTTGTCTACAAGGCCAAGGCCAACTCATGACCACCAAGTTTGCATTTCAGTCCACAAGACGTAGAGTGCAAGCCTTAAGCTGCTTCTTAAGGACTGACCTGGAAGCAATAGGCTTATTTACATTCCTATCCCATTGACTAGGCCAGGTCCCAAGGCCACAGTGAGCTGCAAGGAAGGCTGGGATATGTAGTCTTTCGTTGAGTAGTTGGACGCCCAGCTCAAACTTGGGGAACACTATTGCCAAAAGGAAAATGTGGAAAGTTAGTAGATAGACTTTGCCACAGGCATTGAATGAATGAATGAACCCATAGAATAATGGATGGAGTTATGGATCTACTGATGACTGGTTGGCTGTTAAGTTCAGCTGAAAGATGGATAGACCCTGGGTTGATCAACTGCCTGAAAGGTGATAGGTGACCGACTGGGTAATGACTAAGGGCAGCCCCCCTCCTCGTCCTCTGTCTGACAACCCCCTCCCCGTATTTCCCCCTTCCTTCTCCAGTTCAGCAATGTCACCTTCTTCATCTTTGGGCCTCTCATGATGTTTCTGATGCACCCATATGTCCAGAAACGTTCCCGCTACATTTATGTCACCTTCATCCTCTTCACAGTCGTAGGTAGGTGGGGGGGTGGGACAATACGGTAGTGGGGGCGGGAAGGGAAAATTCCCTTGACCACCTGCCTTTGTCTTTCGCTCCAGGTCTGTTCTCTATGTACTTTCACATGACACTCAGCTTCCTGGGCCAGATGCTGGATGAGATCGCTATTCTGTGGCTGCTGGCCAGTGGCTACAGCATATGGATGCCCCGCTGCTACTTCCCTGCCTTCCTAGGGGAGAACAGGTGGGGCGAGGGCCGGTCCTCTGTCGATCTTGCTGGAGCCCACCTATCCTCTGGGTCCCCTGCCCAGGCCCTCTTGGGGTGTTTGGAACCCTTCCCCTCAACACCCCAGGACTTTTTCCTGACCCTGCCTGATCTAACTGGACTTCCAGGGACCCCTCTTCTGAGTGCACTTGCGACCCCTGGAAGTCCTCCCCTTATCCTACTGCTTATTTGGAATTCTTCCTCTGATCCCACCTGGATAGCTGGGACCTTCTCCAGACCCTGTCTGAACCCACTATGGGGTCCCAGAACCCCATGCCTAAGCTTACCTGGGGCCCACAGACCTCTTCCCTGAGCCTGTCACCTGGGTTCCCCGGAATCTTTCATTGGATCCTCCTGGGCCCCTTTTTTTGACCTCAAGACCCATCTGAATCTCTCTCCTGACCCTGTGTGACCCACTTGAGCCTTCCAGGACCCCTCTCCTAATAGCCACTGGGACCCCTGTAGTTCCTTCCTTAATCCCACCCGGCTCACCTGAATCCCTTGCCTGAACTCACCTGGGCTCTGGAACCCTCTTCTGACCTGACTAAGCCCCCTTGAGCTTCCCTGAGACCCCCTTGTCATCCTATCCATCCCCTACCCCAGGACTCCCTTGGGACCCTGCCTGTGCCCACCTGGGTTCCCTGGGAAATTTCATGTGATCCTCCTGGGACCCCTGAGACCTTTTACTGAGCCCACCTCGGAGTCTTAAGACCATTTTCTGAGCTTCCCTTTTCTCATCCATCTTTGCGACAAGAGCACCCTATTGCTCTGCCTAAACCCCACAGGAACACCCCCCAACCACCCCCGACGGCTGAGCCCTTCTCTCCCCAGGCCCCAGTACATCTGCCTGGTCATCACCGCCACCGTGGTCAGTACCTTCCTGTCCTTCCTGACGCCCATGATCAACGCGTACGCCCTCAACAGCATTGCCCTGCACATCGTCTACATCGTGGCCCAGGAATATAAAAAGTGGGTGGTGGCTGCAGGTGCCCGGGGAGGGGGCTCCCCTTTCCCTTCCAAGAACCACACCCTCCACCCCCGCCAAAAACCCCCACAACACCTCACTGTGTTAAAGAGGTGATGTCCCTTCCCCAAGATCATTCACCAAATAGGGGCAGGACCGGGATTTGAACCTAAGGTTGTCTCTGACTGCAGAGTTTGTCCCTTTTATTCTGAAAACCCCCGAACACACATACAAGTGGAGAGCATTGTATCACAAACCTCCGTGTGCCCACTAACCAGCCCCAGCAAACATTAGCATTTTGCCGACCTGCGTTCTATGCTCCCCCCAGATTTCATATAATGTCAACCATTCATGGTTCAGGGTTTCACTCACCTGATAAAGAATTATTATTTTTAGCCCATACTAGGTCTTAGCAGGCTAGAGAGGGGACTCTCAAATGGGGCCATTTGAGGAGAGTTGAATAAAACGTTTCCTTACAAAGGAGAGGGCAGACTGTAGGAAAATCACTAGGGATCATTTAGAAGCTCTGTGTTAATAACGGCGGGATTCTATGATCATCGGGAGACCTGGGATGGGGAGTGATGGGAGGGAGTGATTGCAAGAATCTGGAAGGAGAGAGCTAGCAGAGGGGGGTCGCCTTGGCAAGAGCTGTGGCCTCCAGTTGTTGGTTGTAGCCAGCCCGAGCCAATCCCACAGGGAGGTTGTGTGGACCAAATCCAGGGGCTCCCTTGTCCTTGGGCTTCCAGTTGGGTTGCCCAGTGGTTTCCAGTTGGGTTGGCCAATGGGGAGCCCCAGTGGGGAACCAAAGGGTGGATGGAGGATACTGTTGGAATATTTATTTCGAGGTCCACATAGCTTAGCTCCCCTGCCCCTGCTGCCCCCTGAGGCACAGGGCAGAGTGGAGAAAGGCAGGGAAGGATCTAGAGGGACGAATAGAAGATCCTTCCTTAAAATAGCATCTAATACCCATTTTGCACTGAACTTTCCTCAGTTTCCCAAAGACATCTTCTTACACCTGGTCTTGTTTAAATCAGAAGGCAAACACAGTCTCTCAGACCTTCTTTATTCCATAGCAGCCCCTCCCTCCCTCCCTCCCCCCTCCCCCTTTCTTCACGCCTCTGATTTGATAACAGAAACTCGATCGATCGTTTGTCCTGTACAACATCCTGCATTATGGATTTGGCTGACTGATTGCTGTGGTTTCTTTCTTTCTTTTTCTTTCTTTCTTCCTTCCTTCCTTCCTTCCTTTCTTTTTCTTTCTTTCTTTTTCTTTCCTTCTTTCTTTTTCTTTCTTTCTTTTTCTTTCTTTTTTCCTTCTTTCTTTTTTATTTCTGTATTTCCTGAAAATTAATAGATCTAGATTTACATTTAATTTTTTCATTTCATGTGTGGCACTGGGTGCTGCTTGTTCCAGCCAATTAAGACCCCATGATGAATGGTTGTCCCACGTTTAGTGCCATTAAGATTGATCAGTAGATTCGGATGTTGTCATCCAGACCCTTCATTGTAAAGTTTTCTACTGACCTTTCCCCTAATGATTCCAGCAGCTGTTTCATGCCGTCTCCATCCGTGATCTCATTAGAGGGTGCAAAAGGGTGATTTTCAGATTCTGTTATTCCTTCTGCATTGATTATCTGGAGTTCATCCATCCAGATAGAAGGACTTTTGCTCATCAACCTTGAAATACAGTTTGGACAGGAAAGACAGGATAGGGCACTGATTCTTTCCCTTTTAAAAATCAATTTCTAGAGCAATGAGTCGGTGCCTTAGCCATCTCTAGTAAGGAACAATGAAGTGGTTTTTTCTTTAAGTATTATTATGAACTCATGGGTGTTTATATCTCTGAAGTGTTTCAATCCATTGCAGTCACTATCCTATATTTTTAACTTTTTATTTTGAAATAATTACAGGCTCAGAGCAAGTTGCAAAAATAGTACAGAGTCCTGTGTACCCTTTACCCAGATTGCCCCCCTGCTCCCCCAATGGCAGCATCGGATGTAACCACAGTCCAGCCTCAAAAAGGAGGAAATTGACAATGGGAAAATACTGTTAACTAGATCACAGACTTTATTCAGAGTTCACTAATTTTAATGTTTTTTTTCTTTTTTCTTTTTTTTTTTGGCCACACTGCCCAGCATGCAGAATCTTAGTTCCCTGACCAGGGATCGAACCTGTGCCCCCTGAAGTGGAAGTGCAGAGCCCTAACCACTGCACCGCTGGGGAATTCCTTAGATTTCACCAATTCTTATGATTTTTTTTTTTTTTTTTGGTGTTCAAACTGTCCCATTTTAGGCTAGTGGGCAGGGCTTGTGCTTTTACCCATAAAGGAGTTACTGCCCCATTAATCCCTGATAAACTGTTTCCTAAGGGACAATGGGTTAGCTCTGCTGTTTGGGAAACACAGATTCTAATCTTGAGTTGTCCTGAGACATGGCCTCAGAGAATACACCCTCCCACACACAGACATATATTCTCATAGCCACATAGACATAAATTCTCATGCACCGACCCACAGGGGCACACACACTTACACCCCAAAACACGAACGCGGAAAGCCTTGTTGGTTACGGGTTCTGCATTCTGATAAACCTGAATCAGACCCCACTTACTAGCTGTGTAACCTTGGGGTGGGGCTGGGACATACTTAATCTCGCGTGCCTCAGTATTCTCATCTACAAAATGGGAATAATAGCATTGTTGTGAGGACCCGGCATCTTGTAAGTGCTCAGCAAGTGTTGGCACAGATCTGGCCCTCTCCCCGCTTGCCCCCTTGATCCTTCCCTCCTCCCAGCCTCATCTCCTTGGATGGAGGAGTTTCCCATCAGCTCCTTTGGGCCCTGCTAGCTGAGTCAGGCTCTGATCTCCCTCCTTCCCTCCCTAGGACCAGTAATGAGGAGCTTCGGCATCTAATTGAGGTCACCATGGTTTTATGGGCTTTTGCGTTTACTAGCTGGATCAGTGACCGCTGGCTTTGCAGTTTCTGGCAGTGGATTAATTTCTCCTACCTGCACAGCATCTGGTAAGCATTTGCCCTGTGGCCTTGGGCCTTAGAAGCAGAAACTCTCAGATGCCAGAGCTTGGAGCAGGAGCCTGGGGGCAGGGTGGGGAGGCACAGATACTGGGATGTGTGTGTGTATGTATGTCTGTGTGTGTTGGGGGACGGTGTAGTCAGGAGATCAGGTCCAGGAGGTCCTTTGGGATGGTCAGGATCCATGAGAGGTAGGGAGAGGTGGGGATGGGGGCGTCAAGCTGGCTGCAGGGGCATCTTGTCCCGTCGTCACCCTGTCACGTAGGCATGTGCTCATCAGCATCACCTGCCCCTATGGCATCGTCATCATGGCCATGGTGGATGCCACGTACGAGATGCCGGACAAAACTCTCAAAGTCTGCTACTGGCCTCGGGACACTTGGCCCATGGGGCTGCCCTACGTGGAGATCAGTGATGACAACAAGAGCTGCTGAGGTCCGCCAGCTTCTTGACCACCCAGCTACCTGCATCCTGAGGACAGAAGCCTGAATGGGGAGACTGAGAGACACTCGCAGTTCCACCCTCCAGCTCCATTTCCCCATCCTCCTGGCCCTCCGTGGCCCCATCCTGAGGCAGGGGATGGACTTCACAACCTCTCTGTGCTGTAGTCTGATGACCCTGGGCGGCTGCCTGGCAGAGCTCCCCTCCACAACCTGCCCCTGTTCTCTTTCACTTCCTCTTCCTGGTTCACTGTTGTCACGTGACCAGGCTGGATGACCTGGTGCTGTGATTCTGTGGCAGCCACTGGGAATGACCTCAGGCTGGGGCTTGGTCCCCGGGCACCTTATAAAGAGTGGCGGTCACTATGAGACTCTTTGGACCTGTCTTTGGCTGTGCAATGTCACTGGTACTTGGGGGGCATCCCAGAGAAGGGACATGTTTTCCAGTCACCTCATTCTACACTCACACATGCGTGCAGAGACCTCACAGATCCTCACACAGGCTCACACCGGCTCCCATGGAGTTGTGGGGTTGACAGCAGAGCAACTTGGAGGCCGGGACTGGGTGATTTGGGTACTGTTGGGGCACGGGCATCAGTACGGGAGCTGCAGTGGCCGGTACAGGCTCTCAAAGCGAGGGGAGAAGGGGAGGGTGATTTCCATGGCGGTTAAGAGCCCAGGGCTTGGAGTCAGGCAGATGTAAGTTCGAATTCTGCTCCACCATCTCCTACTTGTATTATCCGGGGTAAGCGATTTTTTCCTGCCTCTGAAGTTCAAGGACCATGTCTGTAAAACATTCCTTCCTTCCTGGGATTTCTGTGTAGATAAAACAAGATAACATATAAAGTGCTTAGCATGGAGTCTGGCAAACATCCATCCATCTACTCATTCTGTAATTTGTCCATCCATTTATCCATCCATCCATCTTTTGAACTGTCCATTGGACTATCCATCTAGCTATCCTTTAATTTACTCATCCACTAATTTATTTCTTCATTTGTCCATCCTTTTATCTGTTATCCATCTTTTTTATCTACTGCTTATTCATTAATGTATCATCCATTCATTGAACCATCCATGCATCCACCTGCTCATCCACTTATCCACCCATCCATCCATCCACATATTTATTATTCATCCTTCCATCACCCATTACTCATTATCCTTCCACCCATCCATGTATCCAACTGTTAACTATCCCTCCATCCATCTATGTTTAGCCATCCATTTATTTTCATTTATCCTTCTGTCTAACCATGTGTTTATTTATCCATCCATTCATCCATCCATCCATATTCAGCCATCTATTTATTCATTTATCCATCCAAATCATTCAGTCGTCCCTCCATTCATCTATTTTCCCACCTGTTCATTCATTCAGTCAGTCATTCATCTCTTCAACAAATATATACTGAGTTCCTACTATATGTTTGACACTAGTCCTTGGGGATATATGACAACAAAGACATGCAAAGTCCCTCCCCTAATGAGGAGACAACATTAGATAAATAAAAAGACACATAACCAAGGCACTGATGGGTGCTGCAAAAAAGATAAAGCATGGTGATGTTCTCAAGACCATGGGGTGGGGAGCGCCCATTTCAAATGGATGATCAGTGGGGAGCGCACTTTCCAGCTGAGCCCTCAATAACGAGGAAACCAGCCATTCCAAGAACCGGGCAAGACCATTCTGGGCAGAGGGAATGGCAGGTGTGAAACTTTTGGGGTGGGAATGAAGTGGAACAACATAAAGGAAGCTGCTGTTGGAGCTTAGTAAATGAGAGAGAGTTCAGAGTAAGAGGTTCTTAACCTGGGGGGCCGGGATGGATTTCGTATCCATGAACCACTTGACGTTCTCTGCAGAAGATGGGTTTCTGGGCATGTTATCTAAGCCCCTGGACTGCATCACTCCAAAAGGAGAAGAAGCAAGACCATCTGGCCTGCTGGAGAGATGGGGACATTGGAAGGAGAGGGGCCCCTCATATTTACATGTCCATGACACACAGCATTGAACCTAATAACCCTCGACCCCCCTCCCCCCCAGATAGACAAGAATAGTCTCATTTTATAGATGTGGCTCAGAGAGGGCAAGCAACTTGCCCAGGCCCCCACAGCCTGGACTTGAGCCAGGACTGTCCTTCCCCCAAATTCCTTGCTCCACAGTGAGTCAGAAGAAAGACTGTATTTGGATCTCAGGTCTCCTGCTTCTGGGTCTTTCTGACTTTCTTGTTCTAGAAACCAGAATTTCTTCACCTATGGCCTCAGGATGGATTGTGGTGGGAGGAGGGGGTGGAGACGGTGGGAATTTCTACAGACTTGTGAATTGTCTGCAAAATGTTGTGTCCTGGTGTTTCTGGTGGGGAGAGCAGCTGTGCTTCCATGCTATTCTCTAAAGGGCATCTGACACTCTGATAGTTAAGAATCTCAATTCAAACTCTTCTGGGGGCGGGCGGGTAGAAAAGCACGTGCTTCCTAATCCTCCTGCCTCTATCCGTAAATACATGGCCATGATTTGTCCCCAGCTTCTGTCTCCTGGCCCCTGCTGACTCCTCCTTACAGCCTCCTCTTGGGGCACGGAGGCAGTGGGCAGGTAGGCAGGAGGTCTCGGTACTCATCCAGTGTGTAATTCTAACTAACCATGGGACCTTGGCAAGTCCCAGTCTCCATCATGGAGGACTCTGGGTGGCAAAGGACAAAATGTTCAACTCTAGCTGGCTGGAATGACAAAAGGATAATCAGCATATATACCTTTGAAGTTAGCCTGCTGCTGGTGTGGCTGGATCTGGGCTTCAAATGATGTCACCAGGGCCAGGTTCCCTCCATCCCTCTGGTCTGCCTCATGGGTAGGAGGTGGCTGCCACTAGGCTTCTAGCCTTCCAAGTAGAAAAGTATACACTAAAGCTCCAAGAGCACATGAAAAGATGCTCAACATCGTTAATCATTAGGGAAATGCAAATCAAAACCACAAATATCACTTCACACCCACTAAGTTGGCCATAATATTTTTTAAAGGCAGTAGATAAGTGCTGATAAAAACATGGAGAGATTGGAACCCTTGTGATTTGCCGGTAGGAATGTGAAATGGTACCGCTGTAGTGGAAAAGAGTTTACTGGTTCCTTAACAAGTTAAACATAGAATCACGATGTGATCCATCAGTTCCACTCCTAGACATATACCCCAAAGAACTGAAAACAGGTATTCAAACAAGTATGCATACAGAAATGTTCATAGCAGCACAACTGATAAGAACCAACAGGTGGAAACAACCTAAATGTCCATCGATGGATAAACAAAAGTGGTGCATTCATACAATGGAATATTATTCCTCCTTAAAAAGGAATGACGCTCTGACACATGATACAATATGGATGAAGCTTGAAAATATTACACTCAGTGAAAATCCAGACACTAAGGGCACATATTCTATGATTTCACTTATATGAAATGTCTGGAACAGGCAAATCCATAAGGGAGGGCAAAAGCAGATTGGTGGTTGCTAGGGGCTGAGAGGAGGGAATGGGGAGTGACTACTAATGGGTATAGGGTTTCCTTTTGGGGTGAAGAATAGGTCTTGGAAAACTAGATAGAAGTGATGGTTACACAACACTGGGAAGGTTCTAGATGCCCCTGAATCATACGCTTTAATACGGTTCATGGTTAGTTTTACGTTATGTGAATTTTACCTCAATTAAAATTTAAGAAAGCTCCCAGAGTCACTCTTGGCTGGTGTTAGGTCATGCCCTCTCGCACCCGCCTCCACCGATCCCGGTAGCGAGAAGGATGCAGCCCTTGGAGTGGCCAGACTTGGGCATGTGCTTCCTCTGTGGAGGGTGGGGAGCCTCACTCTGACTGTGAGTCTGATTGGGGGGAAGAGGGAGCAAGTGGGGGTCGAAGTCCTCTCTTAAGCTTTGTGCCTGTCATGAGTTGGCATCCTCCCAGAAGGGCTGCCATTTAAAAATTCACACAAAGGTGACTTACAGGCTCATACTGGAGGGAGCCCTCAGATCAGGGACTGTTGCCAGAAAATAAAAAAGGGAGAATGGGGGCTTCCCTGGTGGCGCAGTGGTTGAGAGTCCGCCTGCCGATGCAGGGGACACGGGTTCGTGCCCCGGTCCGGGAAGATCCCACCTGCCGCGGAGCGGCTGGGCCCGTGAGCCATGGCCGCTGAGCCTGCGCGTCCGGAGCCTGTGCTCCGCAACGAGAGACCACAAGGGTGAGAGGCCCGCGTACCGCAAAAAAAAAAAATAAGGGAGAATGATGCTAGGAGGGAGAAAATTGCAAATGTCCAGTGTAGTGCCCTTTTCTGGGGAAATGCCTTGTTGCACATAGTTTTGGTCTGCTCCAAAACCATGCATGGCTCCCCACTGCCTATGGGATAAGAGACAAGTGTCTCAGTGTGACATTCAAGTTCTGCTCTGAGTTGAAGTTAATCTGGGGTAGGTCTCCAACACCCCACTAGGCTCTGCTCCAGCTTGGTCTTATTCGATACTGCTATGAGTGGCTGTGTGTACATTTGTGGCTGGCAGGAAACGGGAAGGTACAGGAAACGTGCTGAAGGCCAGAAAGAGGGTTCCAAAAAAAGTCTCCGAGGGCTGAACCACCTACAAGGTGAAAGGTAGGGGAATTAATACGAAGTCCTCCCTTTGGGTGCAAATAAACTGGACCACTAGAGGGCGATAGAAACCTAATATAGCAGTTCAGTTACAGACTGGAAGCTAGACTCCCCAGGTCCAAAATGTTACTTTCTAGCTGTGGGACTTGTGCCTGATAACATGTATCAATCATGCGTTCTGCCAAATGCTCAGATTACCATGTGCTTTTTGTTTCTTAAGATCTACTCCCTTTGCTCACACTGATGTATTTAAACAGGAAACATTGGGTCACTTCCAGAAGTCATTTGTCATAGATCAAAAATAACCATAAAACTAGATACAGTAACAACAAAAAGTGTGATTAACTGCAGCTCAGTGATTCTTTTTTTTTTTTTTTTTTTTTGGCTGAGTTGGGTCTTCCTTGCTGCACGTGGGCTTTTTCTCTAGTTGCGGCCAGCGGGGGCTACTCTTCCTTGCGGTGCCCGGGCTTCTCGTTGCGGTGGCTTCTCTTGTTGCCGAGCACAGGCTCTAGGCACGCGGGCTTCAGTAGTTGCAGCACGTGGGCTCAGTAGTTGTGGCACTTGGGCCCTAGAGTGTGGGGGCTTCAGTAGTTGTGGCACATGGCCTTAGTTGCTCCACGGCATGTGGGATCTTCCTGGACCAGGGATCAAACCTGTGTCCCCTGCATTGGCAGGTGGATTCTTAACCACTGCGCCACCAGGGAAGTCCCATTAACTGCAGCTCAGTGATTCTTAACCCAGTCTGCACAT